TTTTTGTTTCTCTTGATTTTTGCTCTCAAAAAATGTAATATTATTATTATTTCTTCTTCTTATTATCATTATTATTATCATTATTAATATTAATAATAATAATAATAATACTAATATATATATATATATATATAGTCACCTTGGAATTATTATTATTAAGGTTGCATCTGTGTTCTGAATGATTTTGAGATATTGAGCTTTAAAGTTTTTGCATTCCACATAGCAGACAGTATGCGTGTAACATTTGTTTTTTTTAAATAAAAAGTAAACTTCTAAAAAAAAACATCCTATAATGTAAATAAAATGTCATTTAATAACAATATGTCAATAACTCAATTTTTACAAAAACGTCAGATAGAACCTTATAATTTTAAGGTGACGATATGTTTTATATATATAACTTAGGATAATGGTTTTAGGATAAAAGTTATTTTGTTAGATAAGCTCTAGATTTGGAGATTTGGTTTTGATACTGACTAAACTAATGTATATGCACAGAAAATATAGAAAATGTTAACTTAAATGAGAGATTTATGAAGGGTGAATTCATATGCAGAACACTGTATACATGCATATATTTAATTATTTATTTAGTTTTAATTGTTTTATTTTTTCTGCAACTAATATGAAACTATTGTGTTTGTTGGGCCTTACATGTTTGATACATAATTTGTAATGTTCAATGTAAAAAAACAAACAAAACAAAACTGCAAAAAGAGCACACTTCTGCATTGCAGAATAAGGTCAATCCAGTATCTGCTGATTAGTGTGTTTGTACCTGCAAGTTCTTCTCCTGGAGGCTCAGAGAGCTGCCAATGCTGACTTCATCCAGACTGGGTGACCGAAGCGGCAGTCGACCCCGTAAGTGGATGTTCGGGGCCCGTCCCACCGGTTCACTCCCTGCCACACTGCCCTCACCCCGTCCTGTCCGGAAAACCCCATCAGTCGCATAATTCCTACGGAAAACCATCGTCCCGAGTCCCGGGCGGTTGAATAAAGAGTCTCGTCCTGAATCTGTGCTGATTTCAGAGTAAGCAGCCTCATATAGACCCGGATCACTGAGCGCTCTGGACACAGTGTCTTCCTCATCATCTACATCCTCCAGCCTGATGTCCGATTTACCAGAAAACATGTTGCGGATGTTGAGTCGAGGGCTGGACTGATGGCGTCTGTCCACAAATGTTCCCTGCTTCAAAAACATCACATCATTTCCTAGTTGAAGACCAGAGAGGGAACGAACACTCTTTCGCCCGTCTTCAGAAATCTTGAACGTTCCTTCAACTTGCTTCTTCTTCTCAAGTTTCCGCTGAATCTTTGTCCGGCCTCTAGCCGTGGACTGAAGCGTTGCCTGTAAAGAAAAGCTTATGGAAGTCACACTTTGTTATACTTCACACTGCATACAAACATGTTTGCACTGCCTAACACTGAGTACATTTGCATGAACACCAATAATCTGATTTTAATATGATTAAAACAATACTCTGATTAAGAGTCCACCATGTGTAACGGAGGCCAGCTAATGAAGTGCTGTGCAGGTGAACCTCACTCCTCTGACCTCTAAAGGTGCTCTAGCAACAGTCGCTAGAGGCCATGGTCTTTAGCCTCCTTGTTAGCGCAACCAACTCCCATGCGGAAGGTCGCCAGTTCGAAACCAGCTCGGAGCGGGTTGGGTGGCGTAGGACCGGCAGGGTTACACATACACTGTAAAAAGTGATTAGTTACACTAGTAAACTAATTGCCTTAAAAGAAACAAGTTGACTTTACAAAATAATGTAAGTAAACCCATTGTAACTTGGAACTGTAAAGTTGAGTGTTTATAATTATGCTAATTTTACTCACTTTTTTTAAAGTCAACTAGTCCCTTTTTGCACTGTCAGATTAATTTAGCTCGTCTGTTTTCAAATGATTACTGCAATTCATTCATTTTCTTTTTGGCTTAGTCCCTTTATTAATCTGGGGTCGCCACAGGGGAATGAACCGCCAACTCATCCAGCATATGTATTACGCAGCGGATGCCCTTCAAGCCACAACCTATCACTAGGAAACACCCATACACAGGCTGTGCAGGTAAACCTCACTCCTTTGACCTCTAAAGGTGCTCTAGCGACAGATGCTAGAGGTCATGGTCTTTAGCCTCCTTGGTAGGGCAACTGACTCCCATGCGGAAGGTCGCTGGTTCAATACCAGCTCAGAGCGCGTTTAGTGGTGTAGGGCCGGCAGGGTTACATTGGTGCCGTGACCCAGATAGGAGTGAGGTTTAGTGGGGTGAGTGTAACGGAGGCCAGTAAGTGCTGTGCAGGTAAACCTCACTCCTCTGACCTCTAAAGGTGCTCTAGCGACAGATGCTAGAGGCCATGGTCTTTAGTCTCCTTGTTAGAGCAACCGACTCCCATGCGTAAGGTCGCCGGTTCGATACCAGCTCGGACCATGTTTGGTAGTGTAGGACTGGCGGGGTTACACATGTAAACAAAGATTTTTGATTGATTTAATTAAATTAAAGGTCATAACTGAACTAAAAAGAAATGGAATTAAGACTTGTGGAGTATGCAGATTGTTGTGGCATTATTAAAGTGCAGTACAGACATGTAAACACAGCACTCCCGAAGTCTCTATGCATATGCGGGAGACTCTCAGATGCCCGTAAATGTATAATAATCTCCCAGATCTCTTGCGTCTCTCGCCCTGTCCTCAAATACGTTGTACACCTCCTCTCCACCGCATCTCTCCTCACTCTTTAGATACATCACGCACATCTTGCTTCGTTAGATACGTTGCGCATCAACCACAACCTCCCCTCTCTTCAGATTATCCCCCCCCCCCCTCCCAAAGGTGCAGCCTGATCATGCCTTTAAATGTTGTCAATAAGCGTGAGTGCAAATCATCATGTTGTGCACGGATCTTCATGAAAAAGATTAAGTGTGCTTCCAATTGTACATCAGTGATTTACATGTTAAGTCAACGCAAATGCAAGAATAGACATCCTGCGGCACAATACACGATAATTCGGTAAATGGCGCGGTGGGAATAGTGCGATATGCGCGAAATGACGCGGCGCGAATTGAGCGTTTTACGTGTTTGACGTGCTTAACGAGGGCTTTGCGCGAATCACTCGAGTTCGAAAATCTGAACTTCAGCGTACATTCGCGCCGCATTAACCAATCAGTAGCTTGCTCTTGTGGGGACGTGATTGTGACGTATCGCCTGTTGTTGGTGTCCCTGGAGAAATCCTCCAGCTGACACAGACAAAAAGTTCAATCCGCGCTAGGCCCAGTCAGAAGCACCGCTGAAAGCCTCCATCCAGGTTCAGTTTCTGGAGGAGTTTTCGAGCTCACAGAGCTGGATGCACCTCTGAAAGGATCTAGTGGACTCAGACACGACCCTAAACGTATCGACGCCGTTTTTCAGCCTTATAAACACTGTTATTTTCTTTATAAAATCTATGTTAGCCATTTAGCAACCAAGCTGGAGTCACCAGGCAGACAGAAGCCCTGCCCATAACGCGAATCCGCGTCTGTTCTGAAGTGAACTTAACGTGCGAATGAAGCGGATTTGACGCGCAAATGAAGCGAGTAAACTCAACTACGTTTTTTTACGAGCGAATATCACGATTTATCCGCGCGTTCTGTGTCTGGTGTGAACACAGCATAACAGTCTTAAAGGTGATCTGTGGCGTTTTGGTCACTGTTGCTTTAAATTCAAATGAAATTGTGCTCTTTTTTTAGAACAGGGTGGAGCTACAAATGCCTGTGTGTCAGCATAGTGGCAGATTCAAAAACAAGACTGACGTCATATGCTGAGGGAGAGACGGTCACTAGTGGGCGGGGCTTTCCCCCTCTCCCCTTGATGACAGGTATAAAGGGAGAAATCAAATCAAAGTGTTTCTGCAGAAGCTGGTTATATTCACACACTGCTGCCACACAACTGTGCTCAAACTGCTTATAAAAAGTGATTTTTGCACATTTTAACATTGGCCCAACTACTAAATCAACGAAATAAAGGTTTATTAGCAGTCTTGAGTACCCATGTGTTCAGATACGGTACCTGTGAGTATGTCATAGAGTCAAGCGTGTTAAACTGAGGCATCCGTCGACTCAACGTGCTGCTGAAGCTGCTGTAACTCATGGTATCCGACGTATCCAATGCAGCACTTTCCCTCATGAAATGTCTCTCCATGCGCTGGTGATGCTTGCGCTGTAGTTTCTCACAGTTCCTGATGCGCTTCTCTGCATTGCGAAAGCCTCGCTCCTTCAGTTTGCTCACCAACTTAGGATTAATGGTGATTTGTTTGGCGGCGATCGAGTCCAGATATCGAACACAGTCCATGTGGCTCCTGGAGGCCGCCATGTCCAGCGGTGTGTGGTAATCATTGTCCAGACACCAAACATTTGCGCCGAATGACACCAGAAAGGACAGACAGCTCAGGTGACCGTTTGCTGCTGCCAGATGAAGAGGAGTGTTTCCCCAAATATCACATTTATCTGGATCACCTCTGTGGAGATAATAACAAAAGTGCATGGGGTTATTTACAGATTTATATTACATTCTAATGCAGTTTACAAGGGCTAAATTGATGGATGATAGATATGGGCTTGTTATTGACTTCTCCCAAAATGAGTATATTTGACCCAGGAACATAGAGCCAATGTGATAATGCATGGGACTATTTTTGGTAATATTGCAATTGGTCAAATATTTAGATAAAAAAAAAAAGTGTGGTTAAAAATGGTTAAAAATAAAGTTTACTTGTATATTGACTTGATTCTGTAAATTTTTGATGTGAAAATAATAAATATAGATCATAATATGAAATAACTTGTGACACTGGACCACAAAATCAGTTATAAGTGTACATTTGTGGGAACTGAGATTTATGCATTATTGGACAGATGAAAAAACAAATAAACAAGCTTTCTACTGATGTATTTCAGGGCATAGGACAATATTTGTCTGAGATAAAAAAAAAAATGATGGATGGATGGATGGACAGACGGACAGATAAATAGACAGACAGACAGACAGACAGACAGACAGACAGATAGATAGACAGACAGACAGACAGACAGACAGACAGACAGATAGATAGATAGATAGATAGATAGATAGACAGACAGACAGACAGATAGATAGATAGATAGATGTCCGTCCGTTCGGACAGAGATGGATGGATGGATGGCTAGATAGACAGACAGACGGACGGACGGACGGATAGACAGATGGACGGATGGATGGATAGCTAGCTAGACAGACAGATGGACGGACGGATGGATGGATGGATGGATGGATAGACAGATGTACGGATGGATGGATGGATGGATAGCTAGCTAGCTAGCTAGCTAGCTAGCTAGATAGATAGATAGATAGATAGATAGATAGATAGATAGATAGATAGATAGATAGATAGATAGATAGATAGATAGATAGATAGATAGACAGATAGACAGACAGACAGATAGACAGACAGACAGATAAGTCAGACGGACGGACAGATAGATTGATAGACACAGACAGACAGACCAGATAGTAGAGCTGTGAACCTACACTAGTCTCACGGTTCGGTAACGATTATCATGCCATCGATTTGGTTCAATTCGATATTTCGGTGCATTGACGGCGCTTTCCATACACAGTTTTATATTTTCTTCACAGCAGCAGTTCTTGTATTAAAATGTATGAATATATTTATATATTATTTGTAATACAATTTTGTCGTTTAATACAAAAAGTCATATATATAAACTGTAACTTTAAACAAAACGAGCATTAAGCAAATAATATAAACAAATATAAATATCCAGCTCAATTTCAGATCCTTGTCTAGTTCTCTTACACCTCTTTGATTGGTCACACCCTCAACAAAAACGGTTGCGATTGGCTCTTGCGCGCTGCGTTCTTCACAGATGACAGATGCTGATAAGCGGCAGGCGGCAGCGGCGATCTCACAGCTGATGTATGATAAACACGGTGGAGAAAACTCTGCAGACACGCGCTCGTTTCTGTATGCAAAAGTAACGCTGTAAAACAGACGAGAAGAGAAGAGGAGCCACGCCAGCAGGTCAAATGGGCCACTGTGTGTGTGTGAGAAAGAGAGAGAGAGACAGAGCGAGAGAGAGAGCGAGAGGGAGAAATGGAGTAGGCTACTTTCATTCTCTCGATCTCAGTGAAATAGGGGCTATTGTTGTATATGTCAGTGAAAGACTGATCCAGCAAACACACAGTGAAATTGTGCACAGTTTATGAGTTTTAAGTAGTTAAAGCGCTGTAAATACTCGCGATCACCTTCCTCACGACAGAGCACATATGAGGTAAATGATGTCAGTAATAACCGGTTATGATTATTACTGAACCGATACCGAATTGTCCGCGTCTGCATCGCGGTGCACCGAAGAAACGATTAATTTTGACAACCCTAGTCGTGTGGTTAAAAATGGTTAAAAATAAAGTTTACTTGTATATTGACTTGATTCTGTAAATTTTTGATGTGAAAATAATAAATATAGATCATAATATGAAATAACTTATGACTTAGATAAAGATCTAACGGACGGACGGACGGACGGATAGACAGATGGACGGATGAATGGATGGATAGCTAGATAGATAGACAGACAGACATACAGACGGACGGATGGACGGACGGACGGACTGACAGATGGACGGATGGATGGATGGATAGATAGACGGATGGACGGACAGAAAGATAGATAGATAGACAGATAGATAGATAGGTCAGACGGACGGACAGATAGATTGATAGACACAGACAGACAGATCAGAAAGATAGATGGATTCTGGTAGTTTACGTGCGAGAACAAAATAGAAAACTAATGGACCATAGTGAAGCCAGACAGCTCGTTAAATATGCATCAGCATTTTTATATACTGCAAAATCCAGTCAATGCATTTATTTAAAGTCTGTTGCACCTTAACAATACTCTGTTTAAAGGCCATTGAAAACACTCAAATTACTGGTGATTTGCAGGTTCTACAATTAATGCTGGCCACACACGCACGCACGCACGCACGCACGCACGCACGCACACACACGATTTAGCAATTGTGTTAATTGTTAAAGAGCATTAGTCTGTATATATCAGTTTGGTAATGAATACACATCAGGCCTCTTAGAGTGCACTTGATGAATGCATTACATGCTGCACAGCTTTTAATGACTTCGAGAGGTGAGTCACACAAGCAGTTTGCATAATGTGTGTGTACATGTGTGTTACACTGGGTAAGTGGAGCTGATGAGCATCATGTTACGCATTCAGATCAACACCTTACTGCACAACAGAACATGAACTCATGCAACCACACGCACGTGTGTATTCTTGCACACAGTGTTTTCAGTAGTAAATAGATCAGTGCGTTGGCTATGCTGATGTTTGCTCATGTACAGTTGAAGTCAGAATTATTAGCCCCCCTGAACTTTTAGACCGCTTATTTTTTCCCCGATTTCTGTTTAACGGAGAGCAAATTTTTTCTCCACATTTCTACACATAATAGTTTTAATAACTCATCTCTAATAACCGATTTATTTTATCTTTGTCATGATGACTGTGAATAATATTTGACTAGCTATTTTTCAAGACTCTTCTATACAGCTTAAAGTGACATTTAAAGGCTTAACTAGGTTAATTAGGTGAACTAGGCAGGTTAGGGTAATTAGGCAAGTTATTGTATAACAGTGGTTTGTTCTGTAGATTATTGAGAAAAAATATAGCTTAAAAGGAGCTAATAATTTTGTCTCTAAAATGGTGTTTAAAAAATTAAAAACTAATTTTATCCTAGCTGAAATAAAACAAATAAGACTTTTTCCAGAAGAAAAAATATTATCAGACATACTTTGAAAATTTCTTTGCTCTGTTAAACATCATTTGGCAAATTTTTAAAAAGAAAACAAAATCAAAAAGGGGGCAAATAATTCTGACTTCAACTGTATATGCACTGGCAGTTTCCATAATTGATCTGCATTACAAATTAGCAACCAACATCCATACTCTCTAAATAGGTCCACAAAACCAGTTATAACCAGTTATTTGAGATGCATAAAAATGATAGAATTAATACATTTGCAGCATTATAAGCTGCTTGCATGTATATATTTACACACTGCTTACACACAACTGTGTTTAAACCCCTTATAAAAGTGATATTTGCATTATAGGTGCTTTTTAATGACAACAACACATTAGCAAAGACCAACAGAAACTATGTCAGGTATTGTTGGAAGGATGGAAAACGGCAGAGAGCAAAACCTGAAAGACTGA